AAACATGACAGTAGCAGACGACTTGAAAGTCGTCTTTTATCATTGAAGAAATTTGCGACATTTATTCCTATACCTAACTTTAGACGTACAATTCTAAAATCAACGATCACAAAATACCCCTAGTCTTGATACTTTCATGTTACGTGGGACACCACCCTGTATCGAGTTTTACACGAGGCTTTCTAAAATATTCGACCTGGACCTGTTCATCTCGTAAACCATCTCCTCCGTCAACATCGCCTGCTTTGCCTTGCTCCTAGAGATCTTCCGACGCTTGGATAACTAAACAAATACAGTTAAACCAGAACTTCGGAGCCAGCGAAAGAATTAATAAAATGTCGTCTTGACAATTTTTCAATGGGTTTTATATTATCATACCTAAATTTCAGTTATTGTGAATAAATAGCCATAAAATATGAGGGAACAGTGTTTAAGGGCTCCATATAATTATTTAATTAAAAAACTAAATGAAAAACTAGAAAGCTCTAATGTTCTACTTTAAGAATCTGCCAAAAAATTTCAAATTTGCAAAATCCAGTTATAAAGTAAAAATGTATGCAAAAAAAATGTCAAAAAATGATTTATTATACATTTTTAAAAAGCCATTGACCATGTCATTCAAATATGCAAAAAAATTTGCAAAATTTTAAATAACCTGATGTGTAATTAATAAAAACTAAAAATGTGCAAATTTCTTTTGACGGGCTGTATGCTGGAAATTGCAATTTTTTTTTAGAAAAACAAGGGTAATCATATGCTTTCCAAAAAGCTGAACTGAACTGAAAGCGGGTCAAAACAAAGATTTAGTTTGTCACAGGGAAAAGTAGTCATTCAAGCATTTAGCATAAAAACCCGGTTTTAGACCTAAAGGGAGGGCTATGGGTATTTACAATAAGCCAGAAAATGTCAACAGCCTCAGACCAATACTTTTTGAGTTGTGTAAAAAAAACACAGGGGGAGGGAAATTGCCCCCCCCCCCCCAGCTGGCATAGGGTTAAATGGACTGTACAAGTATTTGTAGAATGACATGTCTGATTCACAAGCTTTGTCTGATAAAAAAAGAATGGAATTTCCAAGTTTTTTCTCTCTAAGATTTATAATTTTCAATTGTTGTTTCGCTGTACTATTGTGACTTAGGGGAAATTGTTTGTGCTTAGCACCTTTTAGGCTAGAAAACCAACACTGTTTTCCACATCATTAGAGGTTTAAAAGGTAGCGTTGAGAATCTAAGATATACCGTTGAGAATCTAAGATATACCGTTGAGAATATAAGAAATATCGTTGAGAATTTAAGATATACAGTTGAGAATCTAAGATATACCGTTGAGAATCTAAGATATACCGTTGAGAATCTAAGATATACCGTTGAGAATCTAAGAAATACCGTTGAGAATCTAAGATATACCGTTGAGAATCTAAGAAATACCGTTGAGAATCTAAGATATACCGTTGAGAATCTAAGAAATATCGTTGAGAATCTAAGATATACCGTTAAGAATCTAAGATATACCGTTAAGAATCTAAGAAATACCGTCGAGATTGAGAATCTAAGATATACCGTTGAGAATCTAAGATATACCGTTGAGAATCTAAGATATACCGTTGAGAATCTAACATATACCGTTGAGAATCAAAGATATACTGTGAGAATCTAAGAAATACCGTTGAGAATCTAAGATATACCGTTGAGAATCTAAGATATGCCGTTAAGAATCTAAGATATACCATTGAGAATCTAAGATATACCATTGAGAATCTAAGAAATATCGTTGAGAATCTAAGATATACCGTTGAGAATCTAAGATATACCGTTGAGAATCTAAGAAATACCGTTGAGAATCTAAGATATACCATTGAGAATCTAAGAAATACCGCTGAGAATCTAAGATATACCGTTGAGAATCTAAGAAATATCGTTGAGAATCTAAGATATACCGTTAAGAATCTACGATATACCGTTGAGAATCTAAGATATACCGTTGAAAATCTATGATATACCGTTGAGAATCTAAGAAATACCGTTGAGAATCTAAGAAATACCGCTGAGAATCTAAGACATACCGTTGAGAATCTAAGAAATACCGTTGAGAATCTAAGAAATACCGTTAAGCATCTAAGATATACCGCTAAGAATCTAAGATATACCATAAATAATAATTGTTTACCATTGATATTCCAAAGATGATAACGAAGGCTAGAGATGCCAGTCCTATAACAACTACGGCTATTCCCCACTGTGGTAATAATTCATCTTCTTCTTCTTCTTCAGTTGATGGTTCAGCATTTAGCCCTCCAACAACTTAATCAGTGTTATTTTAATTTAGTTTATTTTATACAGATCAAAGTAAATAAGGAACTAAAAAATATACACTACAATATTATACAATATGATTATTTTTAGATTTTCGGGCTTCCAGAAAAAGCTGAGAAGTTTTATTATTATTTATGTTTATTCTTAACATCTGTTTTCCTTTTACTATGTCAAATTTTAATCCTGAGCGAAGATTTATGCTAAAAAAATAAAACCAAAAACTATCGTTTTTTGGTTCGTTATCCCAAAATATATACTTTTAAATCAATATTACCTATAAAATCACTAAATTTTGCATCTATTTCTAGGTTTCCGAGCATATTTCCTGTTCTATCTGCTTCAACTGCTACAATGTCCTTCAAATCCTGAAGAAAACCAATCTTGTTAACTTTGAACATTAAATCAACACATCAGCTGCATGTATTTTTTTCTGCTACGAGACCAGTTTGAATTGCACCCCGCGACCCCAGGTTTACGTACGATGTGAGGAGGCAGAATGTACGGAAGCTTAAGCCCGAGTATAACTGCACCCCGCTTGACGGTACTGCACGTTGCTTGGCTCGCTCCGGGTATAATGACCATATCACATCAATTGTGTTTTTCAAGAAAAGAGCAAAATAATTAATTAAAACTTTCATACAATTAAATTATTGTAATTTTAAGTTGTAACAAATGTAACAATGCCTTGTTTTTAAAATAAACATAGAATTGGTTTATGATTAGTTTTGTGTTTTCCCGTCCATGATTTTTTGCAGTTCTTATGAAACCTAAAACTAGCAGGATTAACCAATTTCTACTTTTACACTGTAGTTTACAACAGTTGCTTCATAAATCTAGGGTCACAACCAAAGAGAATAGAATATATATATATTCTATTCTCTTTGGTTACAACAAGTGGGTTAGTGAGGTAAACCTGCAGGGAGTAAGGAATAGAAGGGAGATATAACTGACGCGGTTCGCCCTACCATATGATTTTACATGCTTTGCAGACGGTACTCCAATTGTATAAGAAATATTCAGAATAGGTTATTGTATACGCGGTAATTGTACATCAGATAAATATTTCTCATTCAAATGGAGTACCGTCTGCAAAGCATGTATAATTATATGGTAGGGCGAACCGCGTCAGTTATATCTCACTCTATTCCTTACTCCCTGTGTAAAACCCAAGGCAAAGGCGTTCCGGTCTGGAAACAATTGATGCTTAATTGTCCCATCTGTCTGGATGATTCTGTTTACCTGCGTCGTGATCGGAGATTCTAGTTTATCAAAGAGAACATAATAATCCACTATAATGGATCCTCTACTGAAGGTTTCTATCTGAATATCTATAAAGTTCCCTGATAGATCTGAGTTCCTGTACAGGTTTACCAACTGAAACAAAAGCAAATGTTTTTGAAGAACCTTGTAAACGGATTGTTCACTTTTGAAAACTATCTTGATCGTGCCCGGCGTTGCCCGTAGAATTAAAAACACAAATTTTGAAAAAAAATATTTTTTAGTCTATTACCCCTCACGCACCCATAGGTTTCCTTAACAAAAATAGCCCGTTTGGACAGCAAAAGCTGACACATATGAATATATATATGTATGAAGTAACAAAAATCAAATTTTGAAAGAAAAAAAACATTTTTAGCCTATGTTAATCCAACAGTAGCCATGGGTTTCCTTAAAAATTTCAGCCAATTCGGTCCATCCTTTAGGACAGCTACATCTTTTCACTTCCCCCTCTTTGTTTAAACCATTTCAACGCAATGTTTGACATAACCTTGAAAATTATAAGTTTACATGAAAAAATGCGCATTTAGTTCTGAAATGTATTATTGAAGGGTGAAAACGGAAAAAATATATTTCCTTTCAAATTGTCAAGCAATCGATATTTATTCGAGACAAAGATAATTATTAATGTGTTTTCCAATTAATTTAAATCGTCTCAAATAATTGTTTTTAATGTCGTAAATTGTGTTTAAATGGTGTAAACACTAGGGGAGGTGTCTGGTAGGATGCACCGGAAAACATAGATTTAAAATTTACCAAAATTCACTTTCAGAAATTCAGGAAAAAAATTTATTACTTTTTCAGAGTTTTGTGAAAAGGACTTGAGGTGCATTCAAAACGACATTAATCAATAGTTTTTAAATTAAACTTTTGTTAAAATCTCACCTCTTTTTTTATTTGGAATGCCAAATCCTGCCAATCTCTAGTATATGGATCCAGTAGAGTATCCGTCCAGTTCCTTCCTCCTGATATTAAATGTTATCATGCACAAACTTCAAATTTTAATTACGCTAACTTCTTCATGAAATACAAATAGACTAGAAATAAACTTTGGCCATATCTTGTACAATCTACAATGTAACTATAAAAGTAGAAAAAGTACTTTAAGCACTCTTAAAACTTGAAAAAAAAATAAACAGAAACATCTATCGCCAATATTCTGAACTAACCTGTTACTCTGAGCTGTGCAGCCAACTTGCAAGAATCCCCGCAAACTCCCGGAGTAGTATTTCTTGGACGGGTTGTTGTAGTTGTGGTTGTGGTTGTGGTCGTGGTTGTTGTTTCGGTTGAGGTGGATGTTGTTGGTGTTGCTGTTGTTGAAGGAGCTTCAGTTGTTGGTGGTGAGGGCCATCCAGTAAACTCTGTTGTTGATCTGAACAAGAATAACATGTCAAAGTACTATAAAAAAGTCCAAATCTATATATATATATACTTTGCTTGTCTGGCTGTCTGTTTGTTTGTATCCGACAAACGTCCAAATGGCTTGACAGATTGTGTGAGACTTTGCATTACAAAAAGTTGTATCCAAAACCTTTTGATTTTTGTGCAATTTTAAAATTGCGCGAAATTTTTTTGAAAATTCGCGAACTTTTTTGTTATTGTTTTTTTTTAGAAAAAAGGTAGAGAGGGATCGAGGCGGGGGATAGAAGACGTGGTAAAAAGTAGGAAGTACAGGTAACTCAGGATAAGAAGGGAAGAAAGTTTGATATAGTGAGATTATCATGCTATTACTATAGGTGCTATGAATGGTAAGTAAAAAAAGACTACAGACGCCACTTACAGATTTTAGTCCGTCTTATTTTTGAGTTCCAATGTTCCCTGGAACTGTAGTATAATTCTAATATAATCCTAAATTGTCCACTGGATGGAGCAACTGGGTTTTGGGACGAAAAATTCAGGGTTCATTTCATCATATCGTCATACCATGTTGGACGTTAGATGTCTTACCTGGTTGGAAACTTGAGGGTTATCTTTTTTGTTTGTTTATCAGCAGGTACTACAGGAATAGGTAGGTCAGGAGAATATCCTTCAGGTAGGAAGGAAGCATCAACTTCCGCAAACTTGAAGTCTTTAGGAAGTAAAGACGCAGGAACTTCAACTGGTTCAAGCTTGAAGTCTTTCGGAAGCAAAGACGCTGGTACTTCCACTGGCTCTAGCTTGAAATCTTTTGGAAGTAAAGACGCTGGTACTTCCTCAGGTTCTAATTTAAAGCCTTTCGGAAGCAAAGACGCTGGTACTTCCACTGGCTCTAGCTTGAAGTCTTTCGGAAACAAAGACGCTGGTACTTCCTCGGGTTCTATCTTAAAGTCTTTAGGAAGCAAAGACGCTGGCACTTCTTCGGGTTCTATCTTAAAGCCTTTAGGAAGCAAAGATGCTGGCACTTCCTCAGATTCTATTTTAAAGCCTTTAGGAAGCAAAGAAGCTGGCACTTCTTCGGGTTCTATCTTAAAGTCTTTAGGAAGCAAAGACGCTGGCACTTCTTCGGGTTCTATCTTAAAACCTTTAGGAAGCAAAGATGCTGGCACTTCCTCAGGTTCTATCTTAAAGCCTTTAGGGAGCAAAGACGCTGGCACTTCCTCGGGTTCTATCTTGAAGTCTTTAGGGAGCAAAGACAATGGAAGATTGTCCTGTTCGATCTTGAACCCTGCAGGGAGAAGGGACGAGTCTAGTTCGTCCTGTTCTATTTTGAACCCTGGCGCTGGCTTGACAGCTGATGGTCTCCTCGAGGAATATTTACCAGAAGGACGGAACCGGTTTTTATCCTCTTCATCTTCATCGTCAGACCCTGGATAAATGTTAATTCAGTTTTCTTAAAATATTTAGAATATGTTGGAAAACACAACACTACAAAGATCAAACTCTCGGACAGTAAAATGATTTTTTAATTTAAGTTTTAATTTCTAACTGCCTTTTTTCAATTAGGATTACAGGTATCTCTACAAAAAGAAGCTGTGTTTTTAAACCTGTATTTGTTCCCATGGGATTGTGTATCAATGCTGGTAAAAATAAAAAATTGAAATCGAAAGTCGTCTTCTTTGTTTTGATAAATACGATGACGACCCTACCTGAGGCTGATGATTCCTTGAGAAGGTTTTGTATATCAACTTCCTTTAAATTCTCCAAGAGCTCACGGAGTAGAGCATCACTCTCAGCACTCACACTAGATCTAGTACTAGCCTTGAAATCAGCAGGAAGCAACTAAATCAATTCAAATAGATTAATTCAAATAGATCAATTCTTACAAATCAATTCAGATAGATCAATTCTTATAAATCAATTTAGATAGACCTATTCAGATATATCAATTCAGATAAATCAATTCAGATAGATCAATTTAGATAGATCAATTCAGATAGACAAGTTCAGATAGATCAATTCAGATAGATCAATTCAGATAGATCAGTTCAGATAGATCAATTCAGATAGATCAATTTAGATGGATCAGTTCAGATAGATCAATTTAGATAGATCAGTTCAGAAAGATCAGTTCAGATAGATCAATTTAGATAGATCAGTTCAGACAGATCAATTCAGATAGATCAGTTCAGATAAATCAGCAGTAGCATAGCAGTTAAAAAACTATTTAGAGAGTGTCTCGAAGTTCGTAAATAAAGCCATTTAACAACATATAAACCGAATTTAGGAAACCCTTCGAAAGTTTACCGCATCTACCGACTATATCAATACAATGAAGACGACATTTTATTTCAATTTTGATTTATATCAAGCAGTTAAATAGCATGGATAGAAGTCAAGAGAAGTTTTCAATTAAAATATATTCTCTTTGTTTATTTGTAAAATTGTAATTAAAAAAAGGTTTTTAACAATCAAAGCTTAAATAAAAACGTCGTCTTCATTGTACTTGAAGATTTTTGAGAAACCCAAGAAATAAACTAAATTTATTAAATGGATGTTTTTACCCCGGAAACGTCGTCACTCTTGATCGGGATCTTGGCCAAGTCCGTCTTGAATCTGTCCTGATAACTGGAACTTATTCTAAAAACATAATTGTTAAAGGTGATGATCACCAAACAGTTTAAAGGAGCAGAATACGACAAATATTTTGATTAAAGGGACTGTAAGGATAATTTCAAGCGACCTCCTATTTAAAGAAATGCATCCCCGATTCACAATGCTACCTTTAAACCTTGGACTTAACAAAAATGACGGAATTTTTTGGCTTTTTGAACAACATTTAAGATATACGCACTGAGTTCTCTGTCCTTCGATGATCAGTCGAAGGTTTAAAGGGTACCATTGTGAAGCAGATGCGCTTCTTGAAATGGAAGGTCACTTGAAATTAAGCTTACAGTCCCTTTAAAGGTGATGTTCACCGACAATTACCAGTATATACATTATCAGTTATATACAAATGCCATGCTTAAAGGGAGTGTTTACAAAATAATTAAAAAGTACATAGGATTGGATGAATGAAAAGGTGTACACTGTACCGGATTACATGATTAAATCAAGAAGTCTATAGAAATTTGAATTTTTGATCAAATAAAAGGTTTTGTACCGTATACATGGTAGAAGAGTTAAATTTAGTTCTAAGATTTTTTTGCAAACTATTTATATAAAATCTTGCATCAACTAATATATTTTTTTTACCTATTAGTTTCTGGCAGCTCTTTCTTTTCATCTTTCTCAAGAACCTAGACAAAAGTTTAATTTTAAATTAGAAAAAAAAACAATTATTTTGTGAAAAAAATCTGAATTTTTGAGTGTGTTGTGTTCTCACCTCTTGAGTAGTCTTCTGTATATTAGCTCTCAATCTGTCCCTGAATAAGGTTTTGATGAAAAAATGTTTACTAAAAATATGCAGACTTCAGGTTTTATGTTCACAGGAACAACAATAATGATAATAATAATAGGATATAAATGTTACTGATCATTTCATGCTTTACTATTATTATTATTATTATTATTATAATTATTACAAACTGAAGTGCCCGGCTTTGCCAGTGGAATTAAAAAAATCTAATTAAAAAAATTTAGAAAAAAAAATTGAATATAAAATGCAGAATAAAAAAAATAGCTTTTAGTGGAATTAAAAAAAATTTAGAAAAAAAATTTGAATATAAAATGCAGAATAAAAAAAATTCGCTTTTGTTTCCCTCGGCATACCCCTGGGTTCCCTCAAAAAATATCAGCCCATTCGGTCCAGCCGTTTGGCCGGCTTATAGGAAACATATATTGTTTTATTATGAAAACCATATTAAATAATTGTATTTGTCTCTAGTGTTCCCCTTCTCATATAAAATGCAAAAATGTTTCTAAATCTTGATTTGATCTTGTTCTCTTCGGTTTGATGTTAACAAACTGATTGATCTAATTTTTGCTAAAGTGACGGTGTCTAAAAATCTTAATGTGCATTCAACAGCAATCAAACAAACGGAAAAACTATATAACAAACATACAACTATAAAACTTTAGTAAATAGCAAACAATCCAACCACAAAACTATAGTTTATAACAAACAAACTGTATAATCGTGGCAACATAACAAACAAACAAACTGTCTTACTACACTACAGAACAAACAAACAAACTGTTTAACTATACAATATAGCAAACAAATCGTTTAACTGTACTATATAACAAACAAACTGTATAATCGTGGCAACATAACAAACAAACAAACTGTCTTACTACACTACAGAACAAACAAACAAACTGTTTAACTATACAATATAGCAAACAAATCGTTTAACTGTACTATATAACAAACAAACTGTATAATTATACTTTGTAGCAAACAAACAAACTGTATTACTACACCATAGAACAAACAAACAAATAAACACCAAAACTACACTATATAGCAAACAAATCAACTCTAAGTTTTTCTCGCAATTTCATAAGTTTTTTGGTCATTTGAAATTTGGTCATTAATGATCTTAGAATATCCAAAGTAAAAAATACACAAATACTAAAATACCGGCTCTTCATCCACTTCTGCTGTATTTGTTCAATCCTAGATTCCTTCCTGATCTTTCCGCAGATTCAGAAACATTTTTCCTCATTTTCATGTTTCAATGATTTGTGTAATTATACTTGAAATATTTAATACCTCAATGATGTTTTGTCTGATGAAACAGGTTTATCAGCAAATGAGACAGATGAATCAGTGGAGTCTTCAGAATCAACTGATTTTTCAGAATCAGCTGATTGTTCAGAATCAGCTGATTGATCAGTTGTTGGTGGATCAGTGGCACCTCCAGCTCGGTGAACAAATAAATCCTCTGAAATCCAAATGTTATTTGTTTTTGTTTTGAATTTGTTTTTGACAATTAAGTTTTCAAAAGACAGCAGATTTATTTTTCAAAAAAAATATGCAAGAAAAACAGATTTTTCAGTAAATTTGCAACATAATTTACTCCCTTTTCCCCCCACGCAACTCCCTAATTCCCAATACCCCCTCCCCTCCTCCCTCTCTTTAACGTTACACCACTCCCTCCCAGGATTCCTAAAACATTTCTAAGGTCAGCTTCATAATTACAGGTGGACGGGTTCAAAACGCAGTTTGACGGATTTTCTACGAATCCATCTTGGAGATTTCTTGTGAAACGTTTTAAGTAAATATCATATTGTAACATAGGGGCTTCATTCCTAGAGAGTTTGGCCTAAATGATGTTGTCGTTGATCTAGTGGTTGTTGGTTCTGTGGTACGAAGCGTAAACAACCTTAATCTCTCTGTGGTTGTTGTTGATGTTGTGGTTGATTCCGTTGTTGAGTCCTGATCCTGTGAAAAAAATATTGTAAAGCTAAAAAATGAATCTGGAAACGTTTTTTTTTTACAAAAGTATTATGTCAGAATACTTACATGATGATTATGAAGAGCCCATGGATCAAGATTAGAGGCAAGTTGATCCAATTTATTAAATATACTTTCGCTTGACTCCACTGTTTCTAAAAATATAAAAAATTTTATTTGTCATGACTTTTTCATTCATCATAATGAAGAACTACCTTTGGTGGATGACGTTGTTGTTATTGTTGTTGACGGTGTTGTTGTTGTTGTTGTCAACTCAACCTGTGTAGTGTCCGGCTGTTGAACCGTTGTTGCAATGTCCAGCTCTGAAACTCCGCTAGTTGAAGTCTCCAGTTCAGGAGATGCTACCGTTACAGTCTCCTCTTCAACAACATTTTCAGTTTCAGTAGACATATCTTCTTTCGCAGCAACAGTTGGGACAAAATTTGTTGTTGGTAGAAACTGATTAACTGTGGTAGAAAGAGGAGGAAGGGGAGTAAGCTGAAAATGTTTAACAGTTGTGGAACTTGATTCCGTTGACGGATTTTCAGATGATTCCTTGTCGTTCAAAACAGTGGGGAAAAATCTAAATATGAAAACATGATCATGACTTATCAACCCCTCATAGACCGGTTTGCCTCAAATTTTTAGTGGGGAACTCTTTAAGCTACACAGGAATGTACTTAGCTTTGCTTAACAATTCTAAGTTGACTTTAAATTCTAAACTGGAGGTTAAATCTAAATTTAAATTTCATAGAACTTCTTTTTTCAAAATGTCACCAAATTCAAATATTTTTACCTGGATGGAACGGTTGGAATGAATTGTACTCTGGTAGTTTGTGTGACCGACGGAGGATTGGAAAAATCGATTTCAGATTCAGTTTTAGATTCAGTTCCAGGATTCTCCTCGTCAGTAGTGTCCTCTTCTATCTTGGATACAGTTGTCTCAACAGGAGCATTCTCTCCAGTGGTGGTTAGAGTAGGATCAAGGGTGCTTACAGCATCATAATCTTCATAATCTTCATCGTAAATGTCGTCTTCCTCGTTCTGAATATATAATAGATAAATAGTTTTTTACTTAAAATCCGCAAATTGTAAATCGGATGCAAAAATCATTCCAATAACGTGCAATATGTATACATTTACAATACAGGATTTCAGTTAAATTAAAAGCAACATTTGTGTAGTTTGCAAGACAGCCTTCTTAAATGGACTGAAGAGGTATTATTAAGTGACCATTTATTAATTGAGTTCCAAACCCGATTCACAATGGTAGCATTTAAACCTGCGTCGGAAAAAAATGATGAAGATATCCATGTTTTTCTAGCTGAAAATTTATAATATTCAATTTGGGATTCCTTGCGGATTTATGCATCAGAGGCAATGCAATTAACATAGTTCAATACTTGTTGTTCAGATAAAGGTATACATCCCCATAGTTTCAGTAGAAGTAAATTTTTCCATTTACTGTTAGCGCTGATATAAGGATTTATCTCTAATGAGATAGATAGAAAGATAGTTGTTACCGCTAGGCAATTTCTATTGGTTCAGAATAGGCACCAAACACATGACTGAACCCTGATTGGATCAGGCACTAATGGACTCGGCATACTAGAGTGACATGGTACCGTTGTGAATCGGGATTGCAAACCGTACGTTAACAGTCCCTTTAACTTGTTTACATTGACCCCCCTGAAACAGATTGTTTGTAAAAGTACTTGAATTAACCTGAATATCACTGGTGGTTGCACTAAATACTTGCTCCGAGCTGGTGGACCCGGCCTGGGTAACCGATTCCTCCTCTACTGAAGCCTGCACGTGGGCAAGTAGAGTGTGATGAGTTTTCTGAGGGTTACGGTTAAATCCATGCTCTCCTAGCTAATTGTTAGTTCGGTTAGTTATGTTAATTATTATTTGATTAGTAAAGAAAACTCCTGAAGTTTACATGCGTATATTAAAAATCTATAAAATTTAGAATACAAAATAATATTAAATTAGCACAATAAATCATGCATAATGCATATATTAATGTTTACTGTAAATGGTAGATTTTATAAATGGAAGTGTCTAAATTTGGAGTTACAGGGTTTCCACCGAACTTTACACAGTTTTGCGCAAAAATGTAAACAGCAAAAACGCAGAACAATTGCACGAGCAAAATTTTGATAGCTGACTGGCGGACTAAATTAATTAATTCAGAAATGATTCTGTTGGACATTAATGCAATTTGTGAAATAAACTTTGTTTGTACAATTAGTTTAATGAAGCAATAATCTGAAATTACCTAGTAAATTTAAATCATTAAATGTTGCATCATTTTCATAGAAAAACTATTGGGATCTGATTAAAGGAAAGAAAGGGAGAGACCTGAAACTTTAAAACTTTTTTAAAAAATCTAAATAAAAGAAAAAAATTTCCTTTTAAGATAAATTCAAAGAATTTGTAAGGAAGAAATAGTGTTTTGAAAACAATAATGAAATCAGTTCCTGTGTATTCAAACATACTAAATAGTTCACACAGTATTGAATCTAAATTAAAAGAAATTGAGGCGAAATTTTAATCAACCCTATATTTGTAAAGTGGCATGTAAAGTGGCATGTAAAGTGGCATGTAAAGTGGCATGTAAAGTGGCATGTAAAGTGGCATGTAAAGTGGAACGTAAAGTGGCATGTAAAGTGGCATGTAAAGTGGCATGTAAAGTGGCATGTAAAGTGGCATGTAAAGTGGTATGAAAAGTGACATGTCCGATTCAAAACGATAACCTATAATGCCTCAGAATCAATGTGTTAAACATTTTTTAAATACTCAAAATATTTACAGTGTAACATTGTGAATCGGTCATGCCACCTCTTAATAAATGGAGAGTCTACATTCCAGTTAAAGCTTGAAAACCCTAGTTCCCACTAAAACAAAAGAAACCAAAATTTAAGAATAATCCTTGTCATCTTATCTCACCCTATCACTTCCCAACCCTGTGAAAATATAACAAAGACTAATTTATCTCACAATTTGTAAATTTTAACAATTAACCTTTGTGATAAAAAAACAGGGCAAAAAGAAAACTTTTCATGACTTGGTAAATAATCAGGCTAAAATTGTGCTAATAATGATTATTTTCCAACAATTCATGATGATCATTTTCTTTGGGTTTGACAGGAGTCAAGAGATCCTGAGAGGGTTAAATACAGAATTTTATTTAAAGGTGGTAGAGGGGGGTAATGAGGGGTAGAGGGGGGTAATGAGGGGTAGGGGAGGTAGAGGAGGTAGAGGAGGTAGAGGGGGTAGAGGGAGTACAGGGGTACAGGGGTACAAAGGGTACAGGCAGTACAGGGATACAGTGAATACATTCGGTACAAGGAATACAGGGGATCCAGGGAGTACAAGGGATACAGAGGGTAGGGGGGTACAGGGGCTTATTCATTTGTCGCTGTTTCAAATCACCCCCCCTTGCCTTTTCTTCCCTCTTCTTTTGATTAAGTATACACTGTGACTTTCCGGAGGGCAGTTTTTGCAATATTTGACTGATGTGTCGAATTTAAAAATTGCAAAGCTAACAATGCCATGGGAGGAGAGGGGGGGGGTGTAGTATTCGGGGTACTTCAATTTTTGGTAGAAGATTTGTCAAACCTTGTTTTTGGGGCCGTGGGAGGTGAATGAATCATGTATACTTTCCAGAGAAAAATCTGATTCATTTCATTTTGTAAATTTGCAAAGAAAATTTATTTTGAAAAGTTTAAACGTTAAACCCTTGTCTTTCTCTGTTTTTGCTACATTTTGACCTTTTCTGGAAATATTTGTTTGTTATGAATGATTCAAGTTTATTGCAAGATTTATATAATTTAAATTAGCAGATTTTAAGGTTTTCATAATTTTTTTGTAAACTGTCTACTTTTAATATTTTACATGTTGAATGATATGTATTTTCTAAGTCGTTGCCCCAATTTTATTCAAAAAATGAAAATATCCCTCTTACAAAATTCTCCAAAACAAGTTTTTAAACATACTATATAATTCTGATGAAACAGAAAAGAGGGAAAACGCATAATTTATAGTTTTATGCATAATGCTGTAAATTTAACGACTGCAAATATTATGCAAATAATCAATAAAAGTCTAACTGGTTGATTTAAATTGGGCTGGGACAGGAAGAGTATATATATATGTAGATATGTTTGTAGGATACTGAATTAAAACTAAAGGGTTGCTTAAAATATTTAGAGCTCTATCTAAATAAAAGTCTTTTAACAGTGGCACCTTTTTTTGCATATAAAAGACGCAAATAATTGAAACCCCATCTTTTGAAGTACCCTGGCAAATTTCTACAAAACTTTAAACTTTAAATGCCCTGGTTTTCCGTGAAAAAAATTGCTTTAAAATTCCAATAAAAAATTGACTTAAATTAAAGGATTAGCTCAAAAATGTCAGCCATTTTGGTACAGCCGTTTGGCCAGCTATAGCTAACATATATGTGGGAGTGAAGAGCTTTATTATCTAAAATACTATAAAAGCAAAAAGTTCTATTTCTTAGCAAACCTAAAACTATTTAGGAATTCTAGGGTTAGGGATACTGGTGTTAGTAATTTAGTAATTGTCCAAACAATGAGATACAAAAAACATGAGAGATATGCTTTCCAAATACATAAATTTTACCACACCATGTATATAACATAAACAGTCTAATAGAAATTCGTGTCGTCTTTGTCTAGTCTTGGCTAAGAAATATCGAAAAATATTTAAAAATAAGAGTTATACAAAATAAAAAACTAAAGTGGCGCTTTTACATTAAAGACTGAATAGAGACGACATTCTTTCAGTTTTATATTATAATCAAAAATGTGATTTACAAAAGACTGTGTTATTTTAGATACCTTTGTTTCTTGTAACTCACTGCAATGGACCATGTACAATGTACATTGTACTGTTTGTACATTGTAAAATCTATAACTAAGCATTCTCAAAGGCAAGGTTTACAATATGTTCAGGAATCCGTTTGAGTTCTGAGCTATGAACTCCTGTATTGTGGATATCTAGATCAATGCTTGATCTAGATCTTTTGTTAATCTGCAGATTAATTTTCTAATGATGATTCATTAGACAACATTGTAATCGTACCCAGTCAAGGGTTGTAAGGAGGAATAACTGAAATAAAGAAATTGATCCTTAAATTAAAAATGCACACAATGAATATCAAAATCAAGCGATCGCAGTATGAGTAATGAGTATCCAACATAAAGTTCCTAGCTCTGCACAATCTAGATATACATATTGTATATTCTGCATATGAAAATATTCTTACTGAGAAAGAGTTTATATTTTAGTTTGGCGAATTAGGACAGCCCATGAAGGATAAATATAAACAATAACAAAGGTTATTATACAATATATATAGATTTATAGATATATAAAATATATAGATATATTATATATATATATGGAACAGTAAAAGATAAACTATATCCCTCTCTTTATATTGCATAATCCCATGTCTTTGTTTTTACACAAACATAAGAAATTAATCTTATAGTTTTACAAAAACAATTACATAACAATTAAACGTTAAACCTTTAAAAGGAAAAATACAGAACAATTAGTCTTACATTTATAAAAACACTTTTTTTAAAGAATATATTTCTGGAAAGGACTGTCGACGTAACTTTTATGAAAAACTGATGGAAATATCCTTGTTTTCTATTTGAAAATCGATAATTTTCTACGGTTCTGTGTAATAGTGACTATTAGATTCATGAAGCAGAGACAAGGAAGGATATTGACAGAAATGATATATTTTCAAAATAGTAGATATCCTCCTTATTGTTACTCAGATTAAGGGTTAAAAGGGTATCGTAGTGAATCGGGTATGTAACTTTTAACTAATGGGCTACTTGAAATCTTGAAATTACGTTGACAATCTTGAAAAAATGAAAAGAAAAGTTTCATGCATAAAAATGTCTGACTAGCTTACCGTGTTGATCTCAATATTAGGTTGGGTCTCAAGGGTGGTCGGAGGCTCTGCATCATTAGCTTCCTCCTCATAATCGTCCACTTCGTTTCCGGTCGGACGAATTCGTCGCCGTCCGGTCAACCTTGGACCAGTCACGGTCGGTTTCCGCCCGCTGGTGAACTCTCCCTGGATCCGGTTTATCTTCCGTCTTCCAGAAAGATTAGATCTACGATCTTCCTCTTCGAACTCCGGGGTTTCAGTTTCAAGTTCTTCTGCTCCGGACTCTTGTCCAACCTTCTGTCGTCTTCGTTTCCCGCTTGGGACAATCCTGTTTCCGGTTAGTGTTGACGGAGTTCTGCTCCGGGGTCCTGTAACTCTAGGAGCAGACGGAGATGTGCCCGGACCTGAACCCGGAGAAGTAAACCTGGATCTAACCCTGGACCTGGATCCGGTCAGCTCCACCTCCTCCTCCCCCTCCTCCTCATTTTCTTCAATCTTATCATCATCTCGGAAAACAATCTTCACTCGTCCTCTGCTCCCTGTCTCATCAGAGCCTGGTCTTGCCCTCACTCGTCCTCGTCCTCGCCCGCCGGTAAAATCGTCTCCTGGAGACGAAAACTCTGGTTTTCTGGTTTGTGGGAGCTGTTCCAAGGAGCTAAGAGACGAATCTTCTACTGGTATTCGGACTGTATGACTATTTTGAAACTGTTGTTCCTCCAATGGGGTTCGAGGGGAGAAGGGTTTAGGTTCGTCCTCCAATGTGATACGAGGAGGTGGGAAGAAAGGAAGGGAACGAACATCCTAAAAAATAATCCAATTTTTCATAAAAATTATCAAAATCAAAAAGTTTTTCTTTTTTCAAGAAATAAAAGTTTACCTGTGGATTTAGCCCTCGTATATTTGTATTCTCACTTGGTCTAAACAAAAATTTAATATTAAAAANATTAAAAAAATTTAACCCGATATTAAGCAAAAAATAATAAAGTATACATAAATTATGCAATCTTTGACTTTTTTTTGTAAATTGCTCATTTTAAAAACCAAACATTTGTGTAATTTGTTCAGAAATTATTAATCTTATCGTTAAACGTTTTTTTGACCCATAGATTATGTGTCCTAAGGATTAGCTGAATAATTGATAAATTGATTAGTTGAATAATTGATAAACTTACTTAATCATTGATTAATTAATCGATTAATTGATCTATTAATAAACTGGTCAATTAATTAATTGATTAACTGGTAAAATGATTACCTGATTAATGTATCTACTCGATTAGATTAATAATTGATTAATTGATCAATTTGTTTCTTAATTAATCAATAAACAGATCAATTGATTAGCTTATATATTGCCAAATTGAAAATTGATTAATAAATTGATTAATTTATTGATTGATTAATTGCTGAATTAATCAATTGATAAACTGATGAATTAATCGATTGGTTAATTAATTAATTGTCTCAGAAAAAAACCTGAACTGCTGAAAGCTAGTAACTGCCGGGACAGTTGGAACATTATCAAATATCGGTCTGGCGGAGGGTCCAGAGAGCGGGGCGGATGGAGCAGGGGCAGATGAAAACCCTTGGACCGGGTCTGGAACTCCAGGTTGGAACTGGAACCCCTGGAACCTCGATGGAGCTTGAGGTTCTGGATTAAACCTGGTTGGTTGAGCAGGAACAGGTTGCCGAGGAACAAAGGAAAATTGTTGTTCTGACGTCACAGATCCCTAAACATAAATATTAAACAATGGTTGATCAAATAGTGGATAATGTCATTTTCAGTCTACAGAGTGGTTCGTTTAGATATAGCGCCCGATTCACAGTAGTACCCTTGCAACCTTTATCTACGTAACAATGATGATGATATGATAGTTTTTTATCTTGGTAAGAGATAAAGCTTGTCTATTTTCTACCTTGTTTCTGCATGACACTGCTATAATGGAGAAACCGCAGTTAGAAACTGGTAAAACTAAAGCCAAGGATATTTCCATCATTACTTACTTAAATTAAATTGAAATTCCCTTAAAGTCCAAATAAAAATGTATAAAATGTCTAAAATTTTTTTAAGTTTGAAAAAAAATGATAAAAAATAACAAAAACAATTTTTTTTGGTGTTGCCTATGCGTTAAAAAAGTGAATTTACAACAAAATGGTTTGATATATTCCGTATATAATTATGTATGCTATGTGCGTACTGCCTATTATTATGATAAATACTGGCAAAAAACTGCTTTCTATACAAACAATACTAACTATAGGGTGTGGTTTGTCTGTTTTTGGTATGAACAGGAGTGAGGGGAGGGGGTACCTTCTTAAATTATAAATAAACATTATTTGCATAGAAGATGAAGATGTAGATATTATATTTACGAGCCAGGAATACAGTGTTAATTGAACACGAATATGAAATCAGAAATAAGAATATAAACAAGAAGGAATAGGTACATGTATTTAAAACATATTCAAGATAAGGAATATGTACATGTATTTAAAAACATATTCAAGATAAGGAATATGTACATGTATTTAAAACATATACAAGATAAGGAATATGTACATGAACATACATTATTAATAAAAAGTCGTCATCATTGTATTGATATAATCACCGACCATTGGATAAATTTTAAATCTAGGTGAGGGTTATGTCACGAACCTAGATACCGTGCAGTTTACTGTGCAGTAGTACACGTAGTACGCGTTTTTAAATACAAATGGAATTAAGATCATGTGTATGTATTATATATTATATATATCATAATACAAAAATTAAAATTGAAAAAAAGACCCAAGAAGTTTAAAAAGAATTGAAACAAAAAATAAAATGAAAGTTAAATGATAATTCAAAGTATTCTACGAAACAACTGTAAAGTATAAAGCTCACCTGCGGAAAGTTTGTTATTCGGAAATCTTGGGTAAAAGTTGGATTGCTCCGGATATCCGGAAAATTTTGAGAGCTGGCACTTCCGCTCCCAGTGATACTGCTGGCCCCGCTAATGGGGTTGGAGCTAGAATTATTGCATTTTAACTCAAAACATTATTTTTAAAAACTGTTCAAACATTATATTTTAAGAAATTAATATTTACGTCATTTTATTCTAGATATTATAGACTTGTTTTATGCAGTCGTGAACCAAACTATACAGGATGCAGTTTTCATAATGCAATTTCCTAAATTGTTGTTGTTGTGTAAATTGTTGTTGGCCAAACTGTTGTTGTTGTTGTTGTTGACCAAATTGTTGTTGTTGTTGTTGAGTAAATTGCTGCTGACCCGACTGAAAATTACAAATATAGAAATGTCCTGCCAAGAAAGAGGTGTTATACATTTGAAAAAAAGCTAAACAAATAAGGGAGCAATTTTCATGTAAGTTATATAAAGAAACTCTCTGTGTACTCGAATATAAATTTCTAAAATGGATAAAATTAGATTTTAAAGAAACAGTTTAAATTGTGTAGAAAGTTCAAAAAGTTTGTTTAAAGGAACTGTTGACATAATTTCAAGAGACCATCCATTTACGTAGTGGTGTGTCCGACTCACAACGGTTTCCTTTAAATCTTTGTCCCATCAAAAATTAATGAGCCATTAATTTTCTAGAAGTAAATTAATCATTTTCAATTATAAGTTCTTTTTAAAGGTTCCTTGTGAATATATACCACAGAAACATTGATGGAAAATGTCAGAAATAAACACTTTTTCAAGAAAAATAGGAAATCTTTAATTTTTTACTCGATTTAAGCTATTCTGTGGGGACGGTTGTGAATCAGACCTACCACTATTGTTTAAATGAAGGATCACTTGAATTTTCGTCTGTTGTCCCTTTTTAAAGATCTAATAATCTAGAATTTCGAGTGTGAATGTACCTGAGGTTGCCTGCTGGCGAATGGGTTCCTAAACTGCCCAGGGTTGAAGAATGTGTTGATGCCATTGATGAAGGGTTGAAAGAACGTACCTGAAATCCATCCATCAATCAATCAATCAATCAAATCTGCTGATACGGAATATTAGAAATAGTATATTTTGAGGAACAACAATAAAGAAATTCAAAATATTCCAGATATGTCCTGCTTATTCTTCAGCAAATTCAAACCAATATACATTTTAAGAGCTATTTATTAACAAACAAGGCTGCAGCAGAACATTATGCGGTGCATTCGCGCGACAACAAAAACTTTCCCAATCATTGCATTATGTCAACTAATCAAGGTTCAGGATAGATTAATTCATCTACATTGGTAAGGGAAGGGGGAGGNGCACTGGGGCACTGGGGCACTGAGGCACTGAGGCACTGGGGCACTGAGGCACTGAGGCACTGGGGCACTGGGGCAGTGACTTGAGACATTTTAATTAAATTCGAACTATAGATTCAACGATTTACTTCTTCACAATTCCAACTTCAACATTAAGAACAAATTTTAAAAAGCATTTTTAAATGCACAGATATAAGGTTCATAGGGTACAGACCTAAACTTCACATATTTGAAAACCCCTTGAAACATAAAATGTGTAGAATTGATGTTAATATTTGTCGAAAATTAAAATATTTATTACTTAAAGGAATTGAGTCTTTGCCACAAAGTCATATTTTTTTGTTCCATATATCTTAGCAACCTGATGGTGTAAACCTTTAATATTTCAAACTTAGATTATTTAATCCAACAGAATTCATAGTTTGAAATATTAAAGGTGTTCGAGATTTGGTTGGAAAGATGTAAGGATTAGAAAATCAAAGTTTGTGGCAAATACTCAATTTCTTTGTCCTGCTTACTTTTTCAAAGCCTTTAATCCTCCTCAATTAATTAAAAAATAAGAAGGTAAAACCAGAAGGGCGGGGAAATAGCCCAACCGGTATAAGGGTAGAGTTAACCCATGTTTATTGACTGATGAGGATCGAGAGATCTGAAACAATTTGTATTAATAAATATGAAAACTGAGAAGCTGTTCTGATTATTGCTTTATAGTTAAGGGTAGAAATATATATTTGAATAGCTCTAATCTGAAACAACAAACACCACTATCACGTCGTACATATCATTTTTCAAGTGAGCTGAGTTTTCAGATTTGGTATTTATTAAATGCGTACATATCATTTATCAAGTGTGCTAAGTTTAAAGATTTGTTATATTAAATGCGTACATATCATTTTTCAAGTGTGCTATAAGTTTTAAGATTTATTATATTAAATGCGTACGTTTGCATTCATGGGAATTTGTAAAAGAATGTAGTTTGATATTATCATTTGTGTATATAATTGTGAATACACGCATAATAAAGTCGTGATATAAGACTCCAACATTGAGGATTTATAACTGCTTGGTTCCCTAGTAAATACCGAAGAGTTGGCCTAGAAATCAATATTTACGTCATTTTATTCTAGATATTATAGGAACACGGGCTTTTTAGGATAATTCATTAGATATTTGAAACAATTCAACATTTTACAAGATCCATTTTTCAAGATCCATTTTACAAGATCCATTTTACAAGATCCAAATTATGTTTATCCCTTTTATGTTCTCAGTTAAAGGGATTGTTCATGTTTTATTAGAAAATCCTTTTCCTGCAATACACATTTATTTTTAAAAAATGGTGATATCCTTGTTTTTCTCTCTGGAAATTGGGACTGGTGAATTTCTAAAGCAGAGGTGTAAGAATATTGCCAAGATTTATGTTTTAAACCAGAATGAAAATGTTACGTTAAAAATTCCTATTTTTTAAAATTATAGCATTATTATGGAAAGGACGGGGGTAGTGGGGAGCGAAAAGGATGGGGGTATTAGACATATATGCGGTTGGAAACCATCAACCAATATTTATCCAAAGCGAATTCATCAGTCATTAATAAAAATAAAATCTGGCAGATTTATAATATTTTATATAGTAATTAATTACAAATTGTGGCAGAGTTAAGGTCAAAGAAGGAAAGAGAAAGTTTGCATATTTTTTATGAAACTTAGTTTCAAAACACAAAAAATAATTTTTTATATTTATTTTGGTTTTCTGTGAGAAATTAAACGTTATATTTTCAACATATTTTATCTTAGAATTTTTTATCCAGCTTTCTAATATTAATCTATCTTTCTGATCTTTCTATCTTTATATGTATAATCTATCTATCTATATGTGTATAATCTATTCATCTATCTTCATATAAATAATCTATCCATTTTTTTAAGATCTGTATAGTGTATATCTAGATATATATTCTATCTATCTATCTATTTATCTATCTATCTATCTATCTATCTATCTATCTATCTATCTATATTCTTCTTATTCTTATCTCCTAAAACCTTTAGTTATGTATGAGAAGGGTATAATCTGGGACCTATTTTAAACATATTTTTAACCTGACCTTTCCCCCCCGTTAACCAATTCTGCACCTTTTCATATTTGCACTTGCAAAACAATATTCGGATAAAAGGTTCCAAAGGTTAGGGTTGCGAAACGTTGAGAAAAAATTAGTTAATATCAGGACATATTTGTTAGTTTGATGTTTATTTTCAATCTTTATTTAGAGGGATTGCACTTTGTTTGTGAGAATTAATAGATGCAAATAAACTCAGATTTTTTTAATCCCTAAACTTTACAACAAAGTGTCGTAGACCTTTAATATTTCAAACTATGAGTTCTGTTATATTAAATTATCTAAGTTTTAAATATCTAAATAAGTTTACAACAATGAGTTTCAAAAACAGAGATTGGAAGACTCAATTCCTTAAAAAAACGAGATCTTCATTTTTAATAGTTTCAAGTTTTGAACAGAATATGCGGTTGCGTAGTAAATATTTTATTTTTGTGAATGAGAATGTATTGGCGCACATCCTCTATCATTTTCTTATACTTTACTGGGGCACTGGGGCACTGGGGCACTGTGAGGCACTGGGGCACTGAGGCACTGGGGCACTAGGGCACTGGGGCAGTGACTTGAGACATTTTAATTAAATTCGAACTATAGATTCAACGATTTACTTCTTCACAATTCCAACTTCAACATTAAGAACAAATTTTAAAAAGCATTTTTAAATCATAGATATAAG